GGGCTTCCTGGGATGTGGGGCTTTCCATGCTACATCAAGGACAAACCAGGACAGCTGTTCGTCATCCTAGGTATTCTTGATTTCCTTCATCCATCAGGATACACCTCCTATGCCTCAACAGTAAGATCTCAAGTCGCCCAAGGAGGAAATCTGGGGATCATTATCATTATCCTTTACTTCTGTCATTCCAGTGAGTTGCCAAATCTCTCAGTTCTCCTTCTCAAGAAGTTCTTGACACCAAGCCAAACTGCCTGACGACATTAATTTAATGCAGGTGTCAATTCTGTGTCCTCCTCAATTCGTGAGACACAAAGCTACCTCGGTAGTTTTAAAAATGCAAATAAAAGCCATCCAGTCCACAAAACCTTACTGAGTGCCTACTTTACGTTCCAGGCCCAGGGAGAGAGCAGTGAGCACAACAGCCAAATGCTCCGACCCCTCGCTGTAGCAACAGGCAGCCAAGGGGCAAATCCGTAGTGCCACTGGGAAAGAAAATAAAGTGCAGTCAGGAGAACAGTGACTGAGAAGTTTCACTAGTTTATAGAAGACGATAAAGAGAAAGCCTCATGAGCAGAGGGAGTGAGGGCGCCTCCAATGTGGACATCTCGGGGAAGAATGTTCCAGGAATGGAAAAGAGCACGTGCCAAGGTTCTGAGGCAAGAATGCAACGCAGATCCAAGAAACAGAAGGGAGGCCAGTGTGAGTTCAGCAGAGTAAGGAAGGAGCGGCTGGAGGGCAAGCAGAGGGACTGTGACCACTGCGAGGGGGCTGAGGGAGAACAGAAGGCACGAGACGGCTCAGAGCAGGAGCAACATGATCTCACTTACTTTTCATGAGGGTCCTACCGCGGGGAGAATATAAGGAGGGTAAGACAAAAAGTAGTGTTACAAAATCATAGCGACCTTTATCAAACAGAAATATCAAAAGGTGAAGCTGTTCTTTCTCCATATATCCTCTATCTAGGAGTGTAACTTCTGAAGGCGCTATGTCGCTGAAGAATTCCGCCCTCTGATTACACATCAAAATGGCAGTTGGGCAGTCTCAAGAGACTCAACCTGTGTTCCTTTGAGGTAAAAACGAAAATCAAAACACCATCTGATGGGGCAAGGTCAGGGCCGTAAGGTGGAAGGGTAGTTTCCCAAGGAAATTCCCCAACACAGCCCTTGCTGCCCTGCGGAGGTTTGCTGATACAATGGAAACAATACTCAGCAAAGCTTTCTTAGCCTTTTTCTCGCCAATGTAGTTTTCAACAGTCTTAAAACTTCTTCATAATAAATTCTCATAGTTGTCCTGTGTCCTTTAAGGAAAGCTACCAATATCCCTTTGGAATCACATAAACATAGTTGTTGTAACCTCCTATGCTAGCTGCCTTGAACTTAATTGGCCCATGCATTCCCATTGAAAGCCACTGTTTAGCCTGGCCCCTTTTTTGGAAGGCACACTATCAAGCCTATGACAAGTGCAATACTGAGAAAACTTGTCTCCAGCCACCCACTGATTACAGAGACACAATTAAACACATATTGTTTGGAATGAACCCAGGCACATACGAACCGAAACCTAAAAGCAATACACTCTGACTATCGCTAGCACTGGAGGACCTGGAAGGAAGCGGAGAACCAGTTAGCAGGCTCTTGGAATAACCCACGCTGGAGACCACTCTGGGCGGGCCACGCTAGTGTGGCAGCAGAGAGGGCAATGAGGAGGGGAGGAACAGCAGCAGGGGCTCACACTGACTGTGGGATGTGAGGAAAGAGAAGCCAAGGATGGCTTGCCCAAGCAACAATAAGGATGACGTTCACTGAGATGGGGGAAAGCAGAAGCAGGTGCTAGAGCAGCGGTTCCCAACCTGTGAGGCACGACCCCTTTGGGAGTCGAATGACCCTTTCACAGGGGTCGCCTGAATCATAAAAGTAGCAAAATTACAGTGATGAAGTAACAACGAAAACAATTTTATGGTTGGGGGTCACCACAACATGAGGAAGTGTATTAAAGGGTCGCGGCATTAGGAAGGTTGAGAACCACTGTGCTAGAGGGTTAAATCAAGAGCTAGGATTTTGGACATGTGAAATTTAGATGCCTGCTAGTCATCAGGTGATATTATTGTGTAGAATATAATTCCTCTGTGCTTTTAGTAGCTCCCCATCTTCTAAGGGTAAACTCTAAATCCCTAAAACTGACTTCAAAGGCTCTTCTTGTTCTGGCCCCCACATGTGTTTCTAGCTGTACCTCTTACCATTCCTCCAAAGCTACTCTATCCCCAGCCTATAAACCTGCTGCAGTTCCTCTGGCCTCTGCACGTGCCTAGCCGGGAATAGTCTGGTCAGCCTTACCCATCATTCAGTCCTCAAGACCGCAGCTGTTGTTCTTTCTTACGTGAAGCCTTTCCTACCACCAGCAGTCAATAGGGGGCCTCTGAAGCTCCAACAGAATGCATCCCAGGTCTCTTACTAAAATACTGATGGCCAAGACAATACCAAAACCAAACTCACTGCCACAAAATCAATTCTCATTCACAGCGACCCGTTTATAACCCACCACCCCTATTCCTTCAAGGCACAATTGTGCCCTATGCAGCATTTAGGTGATTTCCATTGTCTTACTCTCTTTAAGGTTTCCTTCTGTGCATCAATTATGTTACAAGTACAAAAGAGGTAGCACAGGTTCATGAACTTTTTAAAAATGTCGTGGTAGTTAGAACCATGTTGATAAAAGATGTTAACAGGCAGGTACTACACCTAGCATGCTCTTAAGCTTGTTAGCTGAATGCAACGCTTTTTATCCATAATTCACACTTACCACTGTCTTCTATGAACTCGCTTCCCCATATTAATTCCACTTCTTCTCTTATATTAACAAGGTCAAACCTGCACTCAAAACCAAAAACTCAATGCCCATTGAGTTGATGCCAATTCATAGTGACCCTATAAGCCAGGGCAGACAGCACCTGTAGGTTGCTGAGACTGTAACTGTTTACAGGAGTAAAAAGCCCCATCCTTCTCCCTAGGAGTGGGTCGTGGTTTCAAACTGCTGGCATTGCAGATTGCACCAAACACGTAACCACTAAGCCAGCAGAGCTCACAGCTTTCAAAAAAGTAATTTAATTTATACACACTCCTTGAATCCCTAAGACATGTTCCTCTAATCCAGTTATGTGAAAACATTTTATTTTCACCAACAAAATAGCCTTAAATACATATACCTCACAACATGATTTCTTACAAGACACATATATATTTCCTCCCTGTATGACTAATAGTATCTTCCATTTTCATTCATTAATTTTTCCTTTCTGGTCAGTTCCACCTACATTTTTTTTCCCACCTACGTTTTTCCCCCAAGTCAAGTACAGTATATTGTCCACATTGCCTTCCCTCACGCATCCAGCCTTTCTCACATTGTTCAATTCAATTCCTCACAATATTTACTACCCAGAACCTAAAACCAGAGACTACTTTGGTTGTCAGGGAGCCCAAAACAATGGTTTTATTAGGGAGCCCAAAACAATGGTTAAAAACATTCTCAGCAGAAGCTCACTGCCATCAAGTAGATTCTCACCCTTCGTGACTCTGTAGGATAGAGGAGCATTGCTCCTTTGGTATACCGAGACGGGAACTCTTTATGAGAGTGGCTCACGGATTAGAACTGTTAACATTGTAGTTAGCAACCCCTGAAGCCAAAAAATATTCTTGAATGAAGTCCAATCAATAATGGGCAACTATGCTCAGTCACTGCCACTCAGTGATAATATAAATGCTTCTAGTCTAAGCAAAGAAACAGACCGTACGAGGAGGATCTCTCGCTCTGTTTTCTCACTTGTTGGAAGAGGAAGTAATATGTCTAACTTGAAATCTGAAAGACAGACAGTTGGGAGAAGAGAATTCCAGGCCACAATAGTGTAAAGGTCCTGGGGTAAGAATGAGCATGGCAATTTTGAAGCACAGAAAGATAAATATGGCTGAAGTTTAAGTGAGGTAGAGAGTGGTAGGAGATAAAGTTGGGCAGTTAGACAATGTGTTAATGCTACCAAAAGTCTAGACCAGCAGTTCTCATGGGTCGCCCGATTCATAACTGTAGCAAAATCATAGTTATGAAGTAGCAACGAAAAGAATGTTAGGTTGGGGGGGTCACCACAACATGAGGGACTGCATGAAAGGGTTGCGGCATTAGGGAGCTAGAGAACCACTGGTGTAGACCATCAGGGTGGCTATAAGCCAAATAGAAGCCCTGGGGGCATCGTGGATTACACATTAGGCTTCTAACCACTGGGTGGGTCGTTAGAACTCACCAACCTCTCTGCAGGAGACAGATGAGGCTTTCTGTTCCCATAAGGAATCACACTGTAACGTTTACAGCCTCGAAAACTCGCAGGGGCAGTTCCACTCGCCCTGTACGGTGCCTATGTGGTGCCTATGTGTCGGAATCAACAGGATGGCATTGAGTCTGGGTTTTGGTGTAAGACGGCAGGCAACTGCATTTCAGCTTCTTGGAACTTCAGCCCTCAGTAGGGAACTGCGAAATCTCAACAGGCTTTAGTATCATAGCTACCTCACTGCATACTTAAACATGAATAACCACAGAGACCAATTACTGTAATAACTATCCATTTCCACAGTTACCTGAACCTCCTGGGCTTGGACCAGAAAATGGTCTTAGCAGCAGCCATCTGAGAGAATCAAAACCGGTCCAAATCCATGCCTGGGTCAAGGGTTTCAGGTCTTAAAGGCATAAGCATCGCACAGTCCAATTCAGACCTGTTAAATGCCCATTAATTTGTTTTACTGATAAGGATGGCTTGACTTTTCTCGAGGAACTTTCTTTGAGTCGCAGGAATAAACTGTCAGCCTTAAAAAACAACAAACCACCGCTCTCTAGAATGGGCTGACTTGGCTTGGTGGACGGTGGCACAGTGGCCATGCATCAGGCTGCTAAGCACAAGGTGTGACTCCATGAGTGGCCCCTTGGAGAAGGACGAGGCCTTCTGCCCCTGTACAAATTTATGACTCAGAGGGGCAGTTCTATTCTGTCCTGTAGGGTCACTGTGAGTCAAAATGGATGCAGGGGCAGTGGGTTTTGGTTTGGATACACTTGTCAACCACAGCAAGCCAAACAAAGCCAAGTCAACCATATATCCTCAAGCTACTCACCACTTCCTCTCCTTGGGACATAAACTTTATCTGCACATTTTTCAGGTCAAAACATGTCAAAAGCTTGATTTTGCACTTCTGGCCTCGAGCTGGACTGTAAGTTTCAACAAGGAAAAGTGAGAGGGCAGAATTCACGAAAGACAATAGTCTGCCCTTCTTTTCCAGTTTCATTTACATAATTCTCTCATCTTACACTGCAGACACCTGTTGACCTCACTATGGAAGAGTTTCAATAGCATTCAGAGATGGGTCTAAGAAGCCAGCGAGAAACTGTAAGGGAGATATAAGACACATCTGCAACAAGTCAAAAACAGAATAGGCTGCCCCGAGTCACTCTGACAGAGCAAAGTGATGTTAGCAAGGGTAAGGCTCTTAAGTACATCCAATAAATGGGTCACTATACCTAGCTCTGAAAATACACAACAGCAGTAAAACACAGTAAAAAATTGTATTCTTTACTCCAAGGGGTAGGAGAGGGAGTTTTAATTAAAGGCTACCTGTAAACTTAAAACAAAAAACTCCAATGTGATTAAAAGTAGTAGTAAATTGGACTTACTGTTTGGCCTGATTAACATGAACTCCTAGTGTATAGCTCAGCCATTTATAGGTCACCTGGAAGAAGAAAATGTTTTATTAGATGATTCCAGAGTACAGATCAGCCCCACAGGTCTGTTCCTAGAGTCCTGCTCTCAGTCGACCATACCTTATAAATGATGTCACTACCAGTCCAGTTTTGCTAAGAACCACCCATCTCACCAGACGGTTCAGGGTATTTATCTTATAAATATTAAGAAACTTGTTTCACAGACTGATTAGTGCACAAGAGGGTTTACGATCTATTATTTATTAAAAACAAATTTTACTACTTTGAAAAGACAACCATGCATGATAAAGAAGAGGTGTCTAAGAACCAAAACAGGTTTTAAGTGAAGCTTTTTAATTTTCTATTACATTTGGTGATAGAATGTGAAACCAATTGTGTTGTTAGTCAGTACTGACACCCTCCCCCTACAGCACAGGTCATCAGGACGCTTCTCCTGAAACAGAGGGGAGTGAAGCAGTGATTTGTGGCTGGGCACGTTCTGTCTTTCAAGAGGTTTTTTTTTTCCCCTCCAAAAATACCAAATGTGCTTTATACAATTGATGTGTGTATGGATTGTGATAAGAGTTGTATGAGCCCCTAATAAAATGATTAAAAAAACAAAAACAAAAAAAAGGCTGAATACACACACACACACACACACAGCAAAAGCTCTCATTTTCTTCCTACTCCTTGTTTTAGTAAGACCCTTCTTCACAGTTGTCCTTTTCTGGGGTCCCCACCCAAAACTATCCTAAAACTCACCCAGAGGCTAGATTTCTTCGAAGCATATGACTCAGTAACTTGTAAAGCAAAGTTGCAGCCCTACAAACAAATCTGGGTACAGGTGGTGAAGAGTCAGGGAATGCAGTGTATCATTGGGGTGACTGATCACATTGTATCAGAGGTGTGACTGTGGTCCTATGGGCATACAGCCTGGATCTTCCCTGTCTTGATTCGCTTAGTGTATCCATCACTCTCTTCCCTCGACGTCTATTCCAATTCTAAACGCAACTTACAATAACTATAAGACCTACACAGGTTAGGCAAAGGCAGTGCAATTTTAGAAAACATTTACAAAAATAGAGCGATCTGGGTTCGAAAACGGCCTACCCTGTAGGAGCCACAAATTACTAAGTTATTCTGCACCTGTCTCAAGACTCTCTCCTAAGGATACCAGCAGCGACCTCCAAGTGAGTCGCAGTAAAGAGGAAACAAGGTAACTTGCATTCAAAGGGCCCGAACTGACAGTAGCGGTTTGCTAGGCGCACTCGCGCCCATTCCGCTCACACCCTCAGAGGAAGGCTTTGCGGCAGTCCCTACACCGATCCCTCGGCTTTCAGTAAGCAATAGCTGGCCCTTGGGAGGTCGTCCGTGCACCTCGGCCGGCTGACACACATTCTCTTCCACTGTGAACGCGGGCCTTTAAACGCCAAGCACCTTAGGTCGCAGGGTCGCTTTAGAAACGCGTTTAGGCAACGCCCCGCCCTCGCGTGGAGACCCTGGCGCGCCGTCCTCGCAGCCCACCCGGCGCCGAGGCCCCTCTCCCCGCAGCCCCGCCGCAGCGACCACGCGCCTTCGGAAGGGTCAGGGCCCCCGCGGCTGGGCTCGGCGCAGGCCCCCGCCCGCCCGCCCGCGGGCCCCGGCCCTGGCTTCTCACGATCTTGTTTTGATCCATGACGAATTCGTCGATGTTTTCCAGATACAGCTGGTCCGCCATGGTGCTGCAGCCGCAGGCTCCGCCGCTGCCTAGGCCCCCCGACACCCGACTCTCAACTCCCGCCGGCGGGAAATGCCAGCGCTCGCTTTCCTCCCCGCTGCGGGGTCGTTTCCCACGGCAACGGAAGCGACGCGCTACGGCGACCGTCCGAGGCCAAACTAGTTCCGGAGACGGCGCGAACTAGAGGCGCGCGGGCGGGGCAGGAGGGAGGCGTGGTCCGGGAGAATCGGCGTGTTGCGTTCGAATTCAACTCTGCTACTTGCTAACTCCGGGCAAAGCATCTCATTTCTAAGGGCCACAGTCATCCCACTTGTTAATTGATAAAATCATTCTTGCCCTTTAATGAATGTTTCAACCAATATTTATTAATAAGAACCTATGATATGCCTACTCCTTTAAAGATTTACAGCCTGGGAAACCCAAAGGGACAGTTCTGGTGTGCCCTATAGGGTCGCTGTAAGTCAGGATTGTGACGATGGCAATCACAGTGCAAGTATTCTTTTTCTGAGTAGGCGTCCTGATGGCGCTGTTAGTTAAGCGTAAGACTGCAAACTTCAAGGTCGAGGTTCAAAACCTCCAGTCCGACTTTGGGGAAAGGATGAGGCTGGTTGCTCCCAGTAAAGCCTCACAAACCCTAGCTAGGGTCGCTATGAACCCGATCCTATTTGATGACAATGAGTCTGTTTGGGGGTGTTTGGAGCTCGGCGGTTCTGTGGGTTAGGGGTTGACCAGCTAACCGGAAGGTTCCATCCCACAGCCCTTTGCGGGAGAAAGGGGGGGCAGCCTGTTCCACTAAAGATGGGCAGTCTCAGTCACCCAGTAGAGGTCACGATGAGTCGGACTGGACTTGAATGGCAGCGAGTTTTTGTTTTTAATTTCAAAGGTGCCCTGGTGGCCCAGTGGGTAAACATTGGTGGCTAACCAAAAAGCATATTCAACCCACCCGTGGCTCTAGGGAAGGACGATGCGGCCAGTCTGCTTCCACCAGATTTACAGCCTTGGAAACCCAATGGAGGCACTTCGATTCTCCTATACGGTTGTTGTGATTAAAAGCGGACTGGATGGTAATAGGCGTAAAGTTAGGACATTATAGGCACTGGGGGCACAGCCGTGAACAATAATCTTAAAGTAATAACCATTTTTAGTACACCATGTGAGTGATGCCAGCTGGGATAAAGTATTGCTTGACATGACCCTGCCGAACTGAGAAATTAGGAAAGGTTTCCCAGGTGAGATGAGAGAAGGAGAGTAAGGCAGGAGGATTCGCTGGAAAGAGAAAGTACCTAGTTTTCATGAAGAAGAAGACTCACTAGTAATCATTGCTGGAATGAAGAAAGGAGGGGCCAGTGAAGAGAGCTGAGATTTGGAGGAAGTCAGATCAGGCAGGGCCTACAAGACTGTGGGAAAAGAGACATGAGCTATATATAGCCTGTGGAAAACTTGGAGATGGATTTTCTTTTTCTTTTTAAAATCATTTTATTGGAGGTTCGTACAGCTGTTATCACAATCCATACACCCATCCATTGTGTCAAGCACATTTGTACATTTGTTGCCTTCATCATTCTCAAAACATTTGCTTTCTACTTGTGCCCTTGGCATCGGCTCCTCATTTTTTCCCTCCTTCTCCCTCTCCCACCCTCATGAACCCTTTATAATTTATTAAGGTAGATCATTGTGATCAGTTTCTCCTTTCACCCCCCACCTTCCCCTTACCCTCTTGGTATCGCTACTCTCATTATTGGTCCTGAGGGGTTTATCTGTCCTGGATTCCCTGTGTTTCCAGCTCTTCTCTATACCCATGTACATGCTCTGGTCTAGCGGGATTTGTAAGGTAGAATTGGGGTCATGATAGTGGGAGGGAGGAAGCATTAAAGAACTAGAGGAAAGTTGTATGTTTCATTGGTGCTGTACTGCCTCTTGCTTGGTTTTTTTCTTCCTTGTGCCCTTTCTGTTAAGGATGCCCAATTATCTAGAGATGGGCTTTGGGTCTCCACTTGAACTCACCCTCATTTACATTGATATGATGTTTTGTTCTGGGTCTTTGATGCCTGATACCTGATCCCTTTGACTCCTCATGATCACAAAGGCTAGTGTGCTTCTTCCATGTGGACTTCGTTGCTTCTCAACTACATGGCCGCTTGTCTATCACCAAGCCTTTAAGACCCCAGACACTATATCTTTTGATAGTCAAGCACCATCAGCTTTCTTCACCACATTTGCTTATGAGATGAATTTTCAAGTTAGGAAATTTCAAGTAAAAGTTCTGCTCTCTAGGATAAATCTATAAATAAGTCTATACAAACCACAGTCCCATTGACCTTGAGACCAACAGAACCAGATGGTGCCCGGCTACCACTACTGACTAGTTGTAAACAGTGCCACAGTAAATGAACCCTGATAGAATGGGATAAAAATGTGAACCAAAATCTAAAACAGACATAACATACAACCCCACCCAGACCTACTGGATTGGTTGAGACGGAAGGACTTCCGGTGACATTCTTCAACCCTTGAACCAAATCTAACCCCTGAGCCTATCTTGTAGCCTAATTACAAATTATATCAACCATAAGCATGGTGCTCTTTAAAAAAAATCACCTCGATATGACCAAATCATTTTAAAACAAAGATGAGAATGTAAGGGAAAAGGGAAACTATGCCAATGGAAATGGAACAACTAGAACTGAATAATAAAAACGTTCGTGGTAAAACTAATGTGACTGAACAACTTGCACAGAAATTGTTGAATGGAAACTGAAATTACTGTGTAAACTTTAACCGAAATAGTTTTTAAAAAATTCTCCTAACAACAACAACAAAATTCTCCTAACATCGAACCTAAAAAACCATCTTAATAATTGACTTCACCGTAAGCCAGGGTAGATCAGGGGTGCAGCTAGTGGATAAGCAAGCAGGCTCCAGAGTTGAACTGCCTGGATCTAAATCCAGGTGTACTTTTTGCTCTGTGACCTTAGGTAAGCTACTGAATGGTGACAAGATCGTCTCTTCATCTGGAAGGTGGAAATGAGAATAATACCTGCTTCCATGGGTTATTGCAGCAAGCAATCATCCCAGGCATATTTAGCAAAAGCTTACCAAGAGCAAGATACTGTTCCATATGCCCAGCATACTGCTGTGACCCACAGGGTTTGCTCACATGTTGCTTACACGCCTGTGGGGCTATTTAAGAAAAAGCTGGTGCTGGCTTAACCTAGGGTAATGACAGCAGAACTTGAGAGAAGTAGCTGCCTTGGGTTTTACTTTCAAGGCAAAATCAGAAAATCTGCTGAAAGATGACTGAGGGGTGGATGG